GTTACTATCACGAAGAGTTACTATCTCACTAAGAGTTACTATCTCACCACAAGTTACTATCTCACTAAGAGTTGCTATCACACTATGAGTTACTATCTCACTACGAGCTACTATCTCACTACGAGCTACTATCTCACTACGATCTACTATCTCACTAAGAGTTACTATCTCACTAAGAGTTACTATCTCACTACGAGTTACTATCTCACTACGAGTTACTACGAGCATATATACATATATATATAAATATATATATAAACTGATGCTTTCACACAAAGAACAGTCGACTGAAGTTCTTCAGTGTTGGAGGTTGTAGGTCTCTCTGTGTATCCATCAGGACTCATCTAGTGGATGTGGGTCTTTCTGAGTATCAGGTTCCTCATGACCCCTCTGGATGTGGGTCTCTCTGAGTATCAGGTTCCTCATGACCCCTCTGGGTGTGGGTCTCTGTGTATCCAACAGGACTCATCTCGTGGATGTGGGTCTTTTTGAGTATCAGGTTCCTCATGACCCCTCTGGATGTGGGTCTCTCTGAGTATCAGGTTCCTCATGACCCCTCTGGATGTGAGTCTCTCTGAGTATCAGGTTCCTCATGAGCCCCATCACACTGAGAACACCCCCCTAATGACGGTTGTATGAATGCAAACACACTCGGCGGTGCGTCGAGGCGTCTGGAGCTAAACTGCTTCTCCAAACAGCTGAGTGGCGTTTGAAGCCAATCTGGCAGGGGCGCCGCTCCATTAGCCGGTCAGTGAAGTGAGCTGGTGGCCTGATGGAAAGAGATGCTTCTCTTTCTCTGGAGGTCACAGAGGATGCCGGCAAAACACAACAGGAGGCAAACACAAGCTCTCACTTCCTGTCTCTGTGAGTTCACACAAACACAAACACTCTCTGATTCATCTAATTTCCTCCAGGTGTCCCGTCGCCTCACAGGAGAGATGAGATGTCTGTGAGGTGAACCCTGAGGATGATGTGGAGTCCCTCTCTCTCTCTCTCCTCATCCTCATAAGCTATGCAAATATGTAGATATGTAAATGAGTATAGTCCCACTCAGGGACTGTTAATTAAAGAGAACATGGAGACAAAACGAAGCAGCTAATCACCAAACACAGACCTACTTCCTCACAGTGAGCAGAAGGCAGCGAGACGGTGTCACATGATCGGTGATGAATCAAAGAGAACAAACATCTAAACTCTGGAGAGCGTTCATCTCCACAAACACGTCAGGATGCAGTGAAGTCGGCTTCAATAAATCCAGGAGGTAGATTTATTGTTTCACTCCTGTAACAACTCCTTTTCTCTCCCAACGCATCAAATAACGGAGCAAAGTCACTTCTCCTCATGCAGCGTGTTTATGAGACCACAGATGTCACCCGCTGTTGTGTGGACTTCTTTTTGAAGCTTTGACTTCGCCATGTTGGTCATTGCCATCTTGTTTTTTTGTCGTTGCCATCTTGGTTTTGATCGTCGCCATCTTGGTTTTTTGTCGTCGCCATCTTGGTTTTTGGCTGTGGCCATCTTGGCTTTGATCGTCGCCATCTTAGTTTTTGATCATCACCATCTTGGTTTTTGTCTGTCGCCATCTTGGCTTTGATTGTCAGCATCTTAATTTTTGGTCATCACCATCTAGGTTTTTGCAACCAGAAGTGACACTAGAGGGCGGAGCTAAGTCCACCCAGAAGCTGAATAAAACATTTTTAGGACAAAAATGTTACAGTTAATTTTGATGAAGTGAAAACACTGTGAAAGGGTTAAAGTTGTAAGACGAAAACGTGGACACCATCCCAGACCGGACAACGCTCTGGGGTCGACCTGTCAATCGCCGTGTAACCCCGCCCTAAAGCATACCCTGCTTTATGGTCTGTTTGACTCTAAATGGACCATAAGTTACTAAATGAACATCATGCTGTATTGAAGAAGACTTGAAACTAGAGATTGAGACCATAAACTCATGTTTACAATGTTTACTGAGGTAATAAATCAAGAGAGAAGTAGAGTCATTTTCTCATAGACTTCTATACAACCAGAGGAGTCACCCCCTGGTGGACACTAGAGAGGATGCAGCTCTAAGCCTCTGTTGAGAGTCTAACATAGTTTAGAGGACTTCACAGCTGGACTTCATCTTGAACTCTGAATCTTTAACGCCCAGACGAGAACAGCTGGTTTAATGGTCTTCTTTAAAGTTACCATGATCACACCAGATCTCCACGAGAGCTCAACGTCTTCACAGTGAGAGTGAAGTGAGAGGAGACATGATGTTCGTTGTTCAGAGGAGGCTGGTTAGAATCAAAGGGAAACATCTTCCTCTTTTATTCTGAGGCCGAGGTGAAGATCGATCGGTTGCTTCTGGAAATGTTTTCTGAGATCAGTTTCATGTCTACGCATCCAGAGATAAAGGTGGACATGTGTCTTTAGAACTGATCCAGTGTCCTCTCTGTCTTCAGAGATGTAAAGTCAAACGTTATGAAGCTGTAAAGACTCTTTCAGTTCTGTTTTAAAGATCAATGTGTTCATGTTCATGTTCTCACCTCCAGGAAGAACAAGTTAATAACATTAACCATTAATCATACAGTGCTTTTAAACAGTACAGTGTAGTTTATAGCATATTATAAGTTATAAGCACATGTTTGTAGGCACAGCATGCAGTAATCATCTTTAATATACATATACATACTGTGTATATATATATATACATATATATTAGTGCTGGGCAAGTTAACGCATTATTATCGCGTTAACGCATTAATTAATTAACGCCGACAATTATATTATCGCGCGTTAACGCAGTTTTGTTTATTTTTATTATTAAGCAACATTTTTAACACAAGAACCAGGCAGCAAGCAGTGAACAGCTGTGTTCGTGTGGAGTCACTTCCTTCTCCCCCCTGGGTCCAGAACCCCTCCTACACTCCGTCACCATCCTTCACTCTTGTCTCACACACACACACACACACACACACACACACACACACACACACACATGAATAGAGGCGATAATAAAGCATAATATCTGGTCTGACTGTTGGAGATAATTGTATGTGTCGGTCGTACATAATATATATCTATATATATATATATATCTTATATATATATACATCTTATATATATACAACCTATATATATATATATATGTTTCAGTAATGAGGCCGTTTGCCTTTTAATATTCTGATCCTGAACAAAGGAAATCATCACATGTGAAACATAAAGATGTTTATGTTTATATACATGTTTTTAGAGACGATTATATAGATGATTAGATGTTTATTTATAATATATCGATGTTTATATCACAGTTTATATCGATCATATGTGTGGTCGGCACCGTTCCCTCCGTCAGGACATGTTTGTCTTTTAGAACAATTCATCGTGTTGGAGATCAGATCGTCAGCATCAACAGACCAGGACCATGAGGAAGACTG